CCGAGTGTTGGTTTTCAATAATAGGTTTATAATCGGAGGTAGATGTGTCAAGTACAGAGACAGAGTCGGGAGTATGCTAACTTCAATAGGTGTTAACAAACGAAGACCTTCGTCGACTGTCCGCTGTGGTCATACTTAATCGGCAACCAGTCCATCCATTATCGTGAATGGGGAAGTTGGGTTATATCATCACAACAATTGGTTAACCAAATGATTTTGTTTAGCAGCATATCAATTTCTATGCGTTATTTAATAACAAAATCTAAACATTTTGAACACAACAACTGCATGCCTTAAGCTACAGATAAAAAGTATTGTTGCTAATTCTACTATAAATACATATTTTTTTGTAATTTTTTTTTTTTATGTAAAAATGTATTTTATACTTTCATAGGGTTTTGTTTTTGTTTGGAGCTTCAATATTTGCCCATAGCTGGTACCCTAACAGGTGCTACCACTCAAGAGTAGGTTGTGTCTGGGAACAACAGCAATTAAGAGGCAGTTCCATGCCTCTCAAAACTTCCAATCTCTTGCTGCCAGATGTAGTTTGGACATTAAAGAGAAAAAAAAAAAAAAAAAAAAAAGTTACATTCTTGGTTCCATAATTAGACATTAAAGTTGAACTAAAAGATACCAAAAGATAATTTGTAACTGTTTTGGTCATTCAAGTGTGGAGCAAACAATAACAAACAATATACATGATTAACTTACTAGTAAGAAATCCAGAGAATGCCCAATTAATCCATCCACCAATAATTATCATAGGCAAAACATTGGTAACGTTCCCCTTTAACATATCTGTCATCATAGTAGGGTCTGCAATGCAATAAATAAAAATCAATGAATGAATAGAATTCAAAAATTAAAGATTTTATATCTAAAAAAGAAAAAAAAAAAAAAAGATATATTTTGTGACGTATGGTGGCTCTTAATATTTAAGTATAACTCAAGACTTCAATATTAAATAAAACGGTATTTAATTACAACATCAAATAAATACTTAAGAACAAAAAAGTCAACCAAAAGCAATTAACATTTCAGTGAATACTTAACAACCGGCAAATCCTAAATCAAAATTCAAATCATCAATGCGCAATAATTCAAACTAGTTTGACTGGATAGTTCCACTCAATAAACATTGCACTCAGTAGCCTGACACTGCTATTTATACTTGGTGTCATTTACTTATTTTCTTCCTATATGAGCTGGATACAACAGAGTTGTGATAAAAAGCAGCAGAAAGTAATGTGATACTGAAGCCCTAAAGTGGTTAATGTTAAGTATAAGCTGGAAGAGCCATGAAAAAGTTAAGCCTAATATGAAGTATAAGCTGGAAGATAGAGAGAGGGGGGAGATATTTTCCCTGGTGACAGGAAGTGAAAAAAATAGGGGACATCTGGATTGTTTCACCCCTATGAATTGGAACAATGTACAAAGAGATTTTTGGTTTTTTTTTTTAATCTATTGAGAATCTAGTAGCAATAAAGTACAGAAGAATTCAAAATTCATCACTGCATTTAAGTATTGCATTAATATTTAAGCTTACCTTTTAAAATTTCTAAAATAATTCTTCTGCTGCCACTTAATTGAAAGGAAGTTTGATGTACATAGATCCTTACTTACTGTACAGATAATTATTTTTATTTCATGGATGACTTTCACTGGATTTCACAATTTCCAAAATTTATTTCCAAGATATAAAAATTGTTACTGTTCAAAAAAAGTCATAAAAAAAATCACCTAAAAACCACCAAAAACAATCACGGTAATGAAAATTTGAAAATCCAAAATTTCAGGTTTGCAGTACCAGATCCACCCCAAGATGTTTTTAATTTGATCATGGTGTCAGACAGATTCCAAAATTGTATATGTTGGGCTACGGCCTCTAGGAGTAAAGTTGAAAACATGGACAATTTTATTTTAAAACAGCGTAATTTTTTCATTTGAAATGAGCTATTGAAAGCTAAAAGAGTTGTGTCCATTTAAGTTGAAAAAGTGTGACACACTGACATTCACATTATATATATATATATATATATATATATATATATATATAGAATAGATGAGTTTATGCTATGAGAGATGCCCATGAAAAAAAAAAAAAGCCACATCCAATTTTTTGCCTTAAATTTTTTTTCTTTTTAAATTAAGGAAAATGTTTTTCTTAAGGCAGTCATGGTGGGTGGAGTCCAAGAAAAAAAAATTGACTAGTGCTCTATGCAGACCTATTTTCAAAGAAAATACATAGATTAAAGAAATTTCAACAAATGTTATGAGTTTATTTCAATCTTGCAACAATTATGTCTGCCAGAAAAGAAATGAACATCACATGTATACACAAACATTACATAGTAATAACACATTTCATTTTAAAACAGCAATACTTAAATAGACTGGCCCTCTCAAAAAGGAAAGAAAACTACATGTATGTCAAAATGTCAGGGGGTCAGTTTAATCTTGTATTTCTAATGTAAACAAGACACCCCACCTAAAATAATAGAAAATTAATGTTTTTCGATTCTGACAAATTTCCTGAGTAGAGGAAGTTCTTCTGAATGTTAGGCAACAAAAATTAGTTGTGAAAATATTTTTATCTATAAGAAATTACTAATTAATATTCATGTTGGAAAGTAAAGGATTGTTTTGACATTTACTGTAACTGTACATAATTTTTTTTTTCAATAGTTATTTTAATTTTATGCTGAAAAAGCTATATTTTTATACAGTAAATAAAACAATCTCATTCTTTCTACAACATATTCTAAGCTAATAATATTGTAATGTTTGATTTGTTTTTTGAAAATGTCCCACTGCAGTGTATCATGGCTGATAATTGTAGTCATCATAATCTATATTATTTATCAATAAAAATATTTGATTTTAAAGCTTTTTATTTATATTTATTAGAGTTTACATTAATATAACTTTTTATAAATAAACAAACATCTAAGAAAAATTTGCTGCAGTGGCCTCACTATTAAGGGGTCCACCAAACTATATATACACACAGGTAATAATCCATTGGTATAAAATCCAAGTGAATTCTAACAATACAAAATATTAAAACTGATCCCTTCTTTACTTCCGTTTTGTTTTAAAATTTGCTTTAGGCCTGGTTTTATTTCATTTTGTTTTATCTTATTCTTTTGATTGAGATTACCTGTAAGGATTTTTAAACCAATCTGTAAGGTGAAATTGATTATAACTATGAGGTAAATTTTAATTCTTTTTCTATGTTTTTATATATATATATATATATATATATATATATATATATATATATATATATATATAGAGAGAGAGAGAGGAATAGAATATGTATATATTAATTACACCAAAAATAAAGGCTGTTTTACAGCTGTCTGTGATTAAACCTCTCTTCTAATATACTTGTATATGATACATTGATTTGTTTTCTACAACTTATCAATCCCTTGCAGATTATATTTTTAGATTGGGATTTTTTAGATAATGATTGATACAAGTCTGACTAATCAATCATTAGCTGCAGGGTGAGTGTAAGGAGGAGAGCAAGACGGGGATTCATGCCTTTCTCAAGAGTATTTACGAGCAAGTGAATACAGCAAACCCAACTGGAATTGGAACTCAGCTTTCAAATTAACAATTCAGAGCCTACAAGCAATTAAAAACTCTTCTAATTAAATAATGTCTTAGTTTCATTATTTTACAATTCAGAGCAGATTTTATGTAACATAGGTACCTCCACGAAATCGCTAAAAAAGAGCATAGCTTGATGAAAAAAGACGTAACCTTGCCGAAAACAAAATTTTATTGTCTAAATGCTTATGTTATTATTTAGAGGAAAGACCAAAGTTTTTTTTTAATTATTTTTAAAAATTTTCCTTCTTTTTAGAAAATTCTAAATTTTGATTAAAAAACCTTGTTTCTATTTGTATCAGCGGAACTAGTAAATAACAGACAATTTTAGCACGTTTTTTGGTATGACACACATTAATTTGAAAAATCGTTCAAAAATAGAAATAATTATCGATGTTAATGAAACTTTCAGGAACTATTCACAGATGATCGAAATTATTATAAATATTTTTTTTTTGAAAGTCATGGTAGAAATATTTTTTAAAAATATTTATTACCCCCCCATAACTAATTTTATGAAAACGCTAGAAATTCGATCGCATCGGTTTTAGTGATTACAATAATTAAAAGCACAGGACTTTGAGGAATGCAAACCATGTTTTTTTTTGTTTTTAATTGGAAACCAGTACCTGAAAATCAGCTCTGAATTGTAACATACAAAACTCAATAAAACAAATATATTATTTAATTTCAAATGCTTTTATTTGCTTTTAGTTGTTTTTATGAATATGGACAATATTTTCTGAAAGCAAAAAATTTTCCGATGAAAAATGAATTTTTAATACAATTATTTGTTATTTCATTAATTATAATAGATTTTACATTTAAGTTGTTAAAATATTATAAAATTAGTTAAAAGCCGCATCGGCTTTCATAAGTGTCCTTATGAGATAGATCTTTTTTTAGCGCGTTGTAAATTGTATCATTTTGACTAATCAGAAGATCCCCAGTAATTAAGAAATGTAATTTTGTGCTTATAATCAAGCTGTAATTATAAAATACGGAAGACCAACCAGAATATAATTAAGTTGCGTTATTTGAGTTAAGCATTGTTCTCCGCTGTTAAGGCCTTTACTTTTTATGAAAACACGTGTGGAGAAGTTAATTTGATTTTCAATTTCAACTGAGAAGGTTACCTACAAGTATCAGTATCATCTTATGAAATTTATATGATCTTATTTTTTATATTAATCTCAGTTACGACATTTTCCATAAATGAAATATCAAAATTAATAATAAAATGAATGCAAATACAAATAACAGTAGAATGTAATAAATGTACATAAAATTATAGTATTTTATGTACAATTCTGATAAAATTTCATAAGAAAGGTACCTATAAATTAATTAGATACCTTTCTTAAGAAATATGAAATTTAATGTCACTCTTACCAGTTTTATTTTAATTTCTTTACAATATATTTCCCATAAAGCATCATAAACGTAAAGGTGAAAGCTAAGTACAAAAAAAAAAAAAAAAAAATTAGACTGCTGAAAGTTTTTCATTAAAAATAACGGGGTAAATAATTTGTTCACGTAAATGTAAATTATTTCACTTTTCTCCTTCCGTAGAACAAATTAGCCTCATGGAATTCGTAAATATATCATTCATCACATGTCAAGAGACGCCAAAGTTTATGACCTGCTTTGTTTTATTTTCAAATTACATCTTTTTTGGCACAAAAAAGCTAAGTTAAGTTTGGTTCAAAATATTTTAAATAAACATTATAATTTCTGATTTTCTTAAAATAAGTTTTCAAAAATGATAATTGATATTTAAAAAATTTCAAAGTCAGATTTCCAGTTTTTTTAAAATGGAAAAAAAAATGGTCAATTTTGCTGACTCAAAAAAAACTAGATTTTTAACGAAAATTTCGGGACGTTCTAGGAACGATTAAAAATGGAAAAAAAATACCCCAAAAATACTTTGACCTTTCCTCTTAATGAATAACAAACATTTAGACGATAAAATTTTGTTTTTTCGTCAAGTTTAAAGCGTCTTTTTTCATCATGCTATGCTCTTTTTTTAGCGATCTGTGGAGGTACCTAATGTAACTGTTGGCCATACAACAAAACATTAAGAAAAAAGATTAAACTTTTACAAACTAATTTAGCAAATTTAAGAAAAAAAATAAAAATATGGCAGTGCCTAAAAGTTTTGACACCTGATAAGCTCCGAGAGACACCTGATAAGCTCCGAGAGACACCTGATAAGCTCCGAGAGACACCTGATAAGCTCCGAAGACACCTGATAAGCTCCGAGAGACACCTGATAAGCTCCGAGAGACACCTGATAAGCTCGAGAGACACCTGATAAGCTCCGATTACCTGATAAGCTCCGAGAGACACCTGATAAGCTCCGAGAGACACCTGATAAGCTCCGAGAGACACCTGATAAGCTCCGAGAGACACCTGATAAGCTCCGAGAGACACCTGATAAGCTCCGAGAGACACCTGATAAGCTCCGAGAGACACCTGATAAGCTCCGAGAGACACCTGATAAGCTCCGAGAGACACCTGATAAGCTCCGAGAGACACCTGATAAGCTCTGAGAGACAGCATATGCAAAACGGAAATGCAGACCTTTCTCAAGACTAAAAATTATATTTGACAAAACTATCAAGATTTAACTATGTTTTTCAGTACTGCTATTTATGAACCAGTTTTCTTGGAATGCAAGGGAAAGGAAAAAAAAAAAAGAAAAAGAAATGCTCACCAGTCATTGGGTTTTTCACAGCAGCTTCTCTTTTTTGAGTTTTAAAAAATCCTCTATCTTCATCGTTAAAGAAACTTTTGCGCATATTAAATGCCTGAAACAAAAAAAGTAGGCCAAATTAAATGATTGCAATAAAAGAAATTGATGACATCAAATTTAAATACTTTTTCAATAAAAAGGCAAAATATTTTCTTAGTTTCATTCATAAAATTACACTTTATATTTTGGATATGAAACCCAAGTTCAAAAGATTGCATGAAAGCAAAATAAATAGTTTGTAATCCCAGCAATTTGTAGATATTAACTAAAACCTGGAGATGTTGATGGTGCAATGAATAGCAGTATGGTAAGTCAATTAGGCATGCAGAGTTCAATTTCCTAGTTGATTTTGTTTAGCTCACTTTGAGCTAATGTTCTTGGAAAAGGCAGGGCTCCATCTTCTCCCTAGGCATGGACTAAATAGCAGGGCAAACTTGGCTCTCTAGCCTTGATGTGACAGTCAAGAAGGAAAATTTTGAATTCAAACCTAGCCTGAAGAGGGTTGGGCTCTGTCAGGTTATCATGCTATGGCTTTGGTAAATGGGATGCCTATACAACCATAAGTGGTTATGACACATACACACTTTAAACCACTCCCATATGCTATGTAACTGGTAAATTTTTATTTTTGCTCAAGTACAATACAAAAACTTCTGTCATATCAAATTAAATACTCACAGTAAAAGTGTTGGGAAAATGGTCAAAAGTAAAATTAAACTAGACCACATAATAAAACAGTGTCGATTCCATTTTAAATACAGTTCTTGTTGAGACTACTAAATCTAGGTCTCCTCAAAATATGCTGATGTGCCATAAGTCATGGAACAAGTACCTAATAGCATATAATATCCCACCTCTAGCCTGGCAAAGTGGAATGAATCAACATGACATCAATTCCACAAGCGATCAGCAGACTTCTGGAGGGATGTCGAGCCATACCGACTCAATATCTACAACTCCTGGATATTTGTAGGTGCAGAATCTTAAGCATGAATAGATCCTCTCCATCATGTCCCATAAGTGCTTGGGTTAGGAAAACATGGTGACTGCACAATTTGTCAGAAGTTTCCATCCTGCTCATCTAACAAATTCCAAGTGACCTAGACCCAATGACAAATTATCCTACTGCAATTGTTGGCTAAATGGACACCATGAATGGATGCAAGTGGTAAAACAATGGCCACTGGTGAACACTGAATTCAACCATGCTATGTGAACACAAATGCAAGAAGCCATTTCGTGGTGTTAACAGGAGCACCCTGGTAGGTTCCCTGCACCTGTATCTCATAGAAGCTAAAGAACGCAAAATAGACATGCCAAATATGTATCTAATACCTCTAGTAATGAATGCTGATTTGATTATGTTGTCTGTGTTACTGTGGACAATTCTAACCAAACATCTGTGACCAAGACCATGGGCAACCATTGCACTGCCCACAATAAGGTTTAATGTCTTCCATTGGATATTCCCAGTACACATGTGACAATTGTAGATTGAGGGATATCAAATTTCCCCACAATTCCAAAAATAGAATGACCCACTACCATACCTCTTTCAAACTGATAATTCACATTTTGCTATCAGCAGTCTAGACTACAACTTCTGAAGTTTTTTTTTTTTTTTCTTTTTTTACAGGTTCAATGACCAATCAAAAAATTCCTTGAGGAAAGGAAAGAATTACCCGCTTCTTAAAGGAATTTAGCATCCAATTTAAAATATCAAATAAAAAAAATTGACTATGACATGGAAAACATGTGCATGGTGTCTCCAGCTTTTCAAATTTAATTTTTTTAAATATAAAAATTCATAAATTAATCTTGTTAACTTGGGGCACAACTAGCTCCCTTTCTGGGTGCACTAGTTCATAAACACTGGTTTAGACAATTTTCATGCTGACTCAGCAAAACTGATATGGATCTGGACATTTCTATGCTCACAATGTAAGGTGGCACTATGTACTACTATGCAATGACATTTGGCATGTCAATATAAAATTGGGAAGAGTAAAATTATCAAAATAAAAAGACTTGCATAAAACAAAGATTCTTCAAAATTGAAGAAACTCATTTGGAAAAGAGCAAGAGAATGAAATAAGAGTGCTTGTCAAAAATTATTATGACTGCTCACATTACAAATATTGTGTGATACGAAAACTGTTGAGTGAAACCAACACAAAACCTTCATGAAAACTAAAAAGATAATTTTTTTTTATCTATTATCTTCCAATTTTTTTTATGATGGTTTTGCAAAGAGGGCAAAATTATACCAATTACCTTTGCGTTTTGTATTGAAGCAAAAAAAAAAAATAAATAAATAAATAAAAAGAATCCCCCCCCCGTTCAAAAATTTTAACTTTATGGTTTCATTAAAATTTATCCCTAATAATGAATTTGTGTGTGCGTTTTTAATCAAAGTCTCATTTCTTCATTGAAAATGTTCAAAACTAACCAAGTTCTCTATATAAAAAAAAAAAATTTAGATGCAGGATATTACCCTTTTCTAGCCATTTTAATTTTCCTCTAAAAGAAATTATCAAAAACATTAAAATGCATAAAGTACAGTTTTATAAAATCATCCTATAAAAAAATTAAAATTCATAATTTCATTTTTAAAATTTTCTTTTACATCTAATGATTAATTTTATGCAATTTTAAACAAGAGTTTTGTGAATAAAATCTTTGCTTTAGATAAGCCTAAAGGCAAATATAATCCCAATCCCTTAAAGTGTTTAACAGAGGTCATATATAAGTAGATTATTTATTTATTTATTTATATAAAGTCATCTTTGGTACTGCCTCTGGCAACATAAAAACCTGATTGATAAAACTTCTCAAAAAAGCAATGAAGCAAAGTAAATGTAAATAATTTTTTTATAGATTTTTTTTTAATGCATTAATTAAATCACATTCAAATGAAATTTTTACTCAATAATGGCAAGTAATTCATGAAAAGTGTTTCATTCGATATAAATGTGTTTGACAGGCGTGTCTGCAAGATATGTTTATATTGTACAAGTCAAATGACAAAAACATAGGAAAGGTATGCAGATACATTCTGCAAGTCAGATCTTCTGTGCAGTGTCCTTTCAGGGTGTTGGTGATCATGCATCTCCATAATTTCCAACTTACTAGGTAGGTTATGCATGGTTTTTCTCTCTCCCTCAATCCTGTGAGTATTAAATTTTACCAAGCCCACTTTCCTCATTGTGTGCCCTAGAAATTTCAACTGTCTCTTTCTGATGTTAAGCATCAGTGTACTTTTTGCTTCTATTTTCTTCAACTTCATCATTGCCCACAGTTGTCTCAGCATTCTTTTTTTTTTTTTTTTGTAGAACCATATTTCTGTTGCTTCAAATTTCTTCATCTGTGAAAAGTATCCAACATTTACTGCCATAAAGCAGAATTGATATTATGCAACAGTTCAGTACTCGGTTTCTAATGAAACCATTTTTCAAAAATATTGAGAATGTTCACAAAGTATTGCGTTTTAAACACACTTTAAATCTCGACCTTATGTCATATTCGGTAGCCACATGGGCGCGGTGAAAATACCTTTATCTTTGACCAACCAGGATGCCAAGCCTGGGTAGCAGATTATGAGCCTGACCTATATCGCAACATGAGATTTTTAAAGTCAACTGATCTTTTCTTTAGTCCTAGAATGATATTAGTTTTCGTTACTGATATCAGAAATGTGATAGCTTTTTTTTTCTTTAGTTAATAATGACTGGTGCCATTGTATATGAACAGAGGACTTTTTTTTCTCGATTCTAGAGGAAAATCCCTGTATTTTTGTTGCAGAAATGTGACAGCACTGACAAATGATTAGGTATTCGACAATAGGTTTCAAACCTATTGTCGAATATCCTAATCATTTTTTTTAGCTTGTATTCTTCAATATAAAGTTTATATTGAGGAATACAAGCTAAAAAACTCAAGTAGTAAACTTATCGACATTTTTTTTTTTTTTTTTTAAATGTCCGAATGTTTTTTTCGCATACCAAATTCTCAACTTCCTTGGACTGCTTTACCTAACCTTCTGAGTACACGCCTATTTTATAAATAAATTTAAAAAATGAAATATAATTGAAACCTAACGAAAATAACATGAAAAACAAAAAAAAAAAAAAAAAAAATGAGGATCTACTCCTGGATAAAATGAACTTTAAATTACGTATGCAAGTTCTTCATTTTAAAATTTTTGGCCTTCAAATATCAAACCGTATAAATTTAAATATATATATCTGAATTTTTTCACAGTGATTAAGATGTATGTTACTATATTTAAATTAATTTTTTGGATACTTTAAAAAAATTATACATGACATGAGGAAAGCTCAAAGTATGAGGCTAGATAAAGAAATTTAAGAGAAGTGTAAGGGAGATAATTCAGTGTTTTATTGCAGAAATTGTCTGAGACATTAAAAAAATAATAATAACCAATTTGACATGTGCTTCATCTTTTAACAGATCCACAACCGTGGCAATTTGGTGCGCTAAACTATACAGTTGTCTTCCGGCCTCAAATGTTCGGCAGAGATACATAGATAATAATACTAATGAACCCTGTTGAAAACAGTTGCAAAACGTGAGGGAAGAGTTACTGACATTTAGATTTTATTTTTAAGATAATGGCTTGTTATAAAATGTTTCAATAGTTGAGATAACAAAAAAAAAGTAGACCTGTCAAACTGCTGAAGAGAAAACAAAAAAATGAACTAAAAACTTAAGCGATACGTTTTCCACACACAAAAAATATTCACAATTTGTTTAAAGCTAAATTTTAAAATTATTTATAAAATAATTTCCACAAAAAGAAGAATTAAATTTTAATTTTTTTTATTAAACAAAATTTGATTTAAATGATCCAATTGAAAAAAAAAAGTTAAAGTGTAACTGTAATGAAAGAAAAAACTTACATGTTTAGGTATATATTTTCCATTTTCTCGCAGTATTCTGCTTCTAATTAATGCGTGACTGAAAAAAAAAAAAAACAATTCAAAAAAATTATTTCGATGTTTGAAATATTAATTACAACATCTAAAAGGGGAAAGACGATTTATAGAAGGTAAAAAAAAAAAAAGATGTAAGCTCTCACCTATCAGCAACTTGCTGTAATTCCGATTTTTTCTCTGATGAAAGGAGGATGGTGACATAATGTCTAATAATTCCAACAAGAAAAGTAATAACTACAATGGGTAAAAAGACCCAGACTCGAATATTGGAGTCTAGTAGAAGTTCGGCCATGCTAATGCTTATTCAACCGGAAGTGACTGCTTTTTCTGACTCGGCTACTTCCGCAATAACAAGAGTCATATTTTCAAGGGACGCTATTCACTTTGCTCTCGTCAAAACTGACTGTTGAATGGCTACTTCGATGTAGTGATGATTAGCAAGCTTGTCTTGCTAGATTACTGCTGAGTAGTGGATCTATCATCACTGAGAGATAATACGTTCGTGCCACATCTAAGCTTTACTTAGTAAAATACTGAATTAAATGTAGTGTAGAGATCATAGCTAAGATGGCATTGAAAAACAAAATTAAACTGTAAAATTCCAACTTACTTATTCAAAAAATATTGAATAATACCTCAGTAGTTTTATCATGTCATTTTTAGTAGATACACTTTTTTGAGTTGACTGTTGACATCTCCCCCTTTTTTAAGAGTGCTAAAAAAAATATCGACCGGCTTCCGCTTAAATTCAGTATTTAAAAAAATAAAATAGACCCCAGACGTCAATGCAAACACGTGCACACAAACGTTTAATTAAGAAATAATGTTGGATTTAAAAGAAATAGATTTATTTTAAAAATACCTAAATATTCTTACCTGTTTTGAAATGCTTAAAAAAGAATGCATCTTCTTTTTTCGTGATCTTTGTAACACTGGTTGAGTGTAAATGAAATGGTTCCTAATTTGACTTTAACACACGTACATTTAAATTTTTTTAAAATTATAGTTTGTTTTTAATGCCTGGACTAAGATAAAAAAAAAATAACTTTTAGTTTTACTTGTAAAGAAACTAAAAATACGTGCACGTCGAACGTAGGTATAATTTATATATATATATATATATATATATATATATATAATGATTCACTGAAATATGTAAAAAAAATTTTTTTTTTTCAGTAATCTTACTCTTGACTGAAGCTATTTTAATAAAGAAAGAAAGTAAAGATCAATAGAAACAAATCAAGTGGCCAAATATTTTTTCAGTAACATTATAAAATGACACCGGTGACTAAAACGAAGGGAAGTAACTCTGTTATTAATTGCAGTAAGGTAATTTGTCTCGTTAGTTAAATAAAATTGTTATGGACCGAGAGGAGAAGATATTGAATTATGAAACATTTTTAAATGAAAAACTACGAGGTGATTTAAAGTAAGTTAAAACTTTTAAAAGTACTTAGTAGAGTGGCGTGCATTGTTGTGTAATTTGTTCATGAATTAATTTTTTTTTTGAAGAAGAAAAAAATTTTTTGTTGGTGTCTAGCCAAAAAAAAAAAAAAAAAAAAAAAAAAACTAAGTCGTACAGACATTTTCATTAAAATAATACGCCTGAGTTGTGTTAAAGTTTTTAAAAATAATTACTTACTTTTGTACTACAATTTCACACATTATTACTAGAATTTTCAAGCAATAATGATTTTTCATACACCCCGTTTTTAGGAAAATCCGTGTTTGCAAGTTTTATATTTATTATTATTGATCTGTCAAGGTTTTGAAAGGTCTATTCACAGCTATAATAAATTTTTAAACAAACCGTATGTAATTTTAAATATTGTCCGTGCTGAAATGTGTATGATTTCCTCGGAATATGCCAAGAATTCACTGCAGTAAACTCGCTCTTAAATTTTACATCCAAAGTCGCTCGCATCAACCACTCGCAACGTGACACGAACCGAACTATAAGTTATGAAATATCTAATTATTCTATAAAACAAACAGATCAGTATGATACAAAGTGAAAAAGAGAAGTGCCTGAGAAGCCAAGCCTTGGTAGGAGAAGGATTATGATTATTAGTATTACTCTGAATTTAAAACCGTGGAGAAAGCATAGTAAGAAACAATTCCACTGGTAAATGTCTACAATCAGGGATAATTCAAGACTAGAGTTAAAATTTATCGTTTATTGTTTTTATTTTCGAATACGTTGTCTTTTTTTTGTTTTTTTTTTTCTTCCGAAATATATATTCATTCAGATATTCCCATTCTTGTTGATGCTTGGGCTGAATGTTGTTAGAGTTAGAGACGTACCCCGTCTCGTCTTCCTTTAAGTTTAAGAGGAAATTGTTGAATTGATTTTAGAGATTGATGGAACTTTGATGTTTAAAAAAAGAAAGAACAATGTTGGAAGAGTAGTAGAGTATGTCAGTAATGAATTTTTCGACTTTACGACATTGATTTTAAAAATTAAAAAAAAGGCTACCTGGTGCATGTTGCTGACAGAAGTGCGGAAATTTTACTTCCAATTGTACAGCGATGTGTTGCACCTGATGCTATCATTCATGGTGATAAACGGGCTGCTTATAATGAGTTAGCTGCGCTTGGGTTTCAGCATTTAGTTGTCAACCATAATCAGAATTTTCTTGACGCAATGATGGGGTTCTGTCATGTAGAAGCATATTGAGCAAGGAAGAATCAAGAAATGCCTAAAGAGAATTGATGGTTCTGTAAGTGTTCTTGGATTGCAAAGGAAATATTTGTTACAGATTACTTCCACAACAAAAAGAACAAATCACAAGTTCAAACTCAAATAGGCAGAAAGAAATGTCAAAATCTCGATTCACAGGTCAAATGTCACAAATCACAATACACATAACCAGTCAGAAAAATGTCTCACTCACCGACAAACACAGTAGCCAAATACATGAATTTTGTCTTTCCTTCAGAATAGCATCCAATTCTGATAAATTGATATGTTGTACGTCCTTCAGAGGCTGCGTCCAACATGCGTCCTCTACAACACTTCTGTCAGCCTCTGACAAACCTCCTGTGGCAAGAGAACTTGCATTGACCCACACCTCATAAGTATATCCGCTTATGCACCACTTACTGTGTGCACGGTCATTCTGGCATATTCTTTCCACTATGTCCTTGATCATGTTCTTAAGGGAAGCATCTGTAACTTCATCGTCCCAGCCAGACATGATTGATACTGTTCTGTGTTTAATAAATGATGCAGCAACACAAAGCCAACCGCACACAGGAATGGAACCCACCAGTTTTCCACACTGCAAGAAGATGTTATGTCACATCAGGAACTGATGGAATGTCATTTTCACTATTCCACTTAAGCATGTTGTTGTCCTGCTCGACATGCAAACCCAGCACACATGCGCTGTCCCATAACTACTCTGGATCCTCGCAGATCAAGCCAAACACAGCCAAGTGATCTTTCACGCAAGCTTCTGAAATCAGGTTCTCATCAACATAAATATCATCAATATATTATGAGGTTGCCCGTCAAACTGACTCGTCTTTCAATAACACAGCGACCACAATGGCCTTCATTATGGCTGGTGCAACATTCAACCAGAAACGCATTCGTGTCAAGCAATATCTTCACCCTTTGAAGATGTAATTTATGGATATGCACTTGTAGATAGGCCTGCCATAGGTCAAGGATAGTGACATCAGGTCCTTTTTTATACCACTCCCTCAGTTTCTGTGTGCACATGTCAGCAATTGCTCATTCAACTCTTGATAGTCTAATACTGGCCACACTTTATTTTTGTTTTTCTGTGCCACTGCCATCAATGGAATTAAACCTTTTGGAGGACCAAGTTCCTTTTCAGGATAAGGCTGTCTCCAACTGTTATCAAGCCAGATCTGCAGCTCACGGTCATATTCCTCCTTGACTCCCATTGGTATTGGAAGTTTATCAGCTCCACCTAGTGAAATACAAGCAACAACCATTTCTCAGTTACAGTTGGATCTTTTATTATGACCCGAGCTTGGTCCAACAGTTGGTTTGTAGTCATGTCAGCCATCCTGGAAGACACACACAGTAGTTGCTTGACGTGTGCTGGTAAGCCTGCTATGAATGCACATGCTAATCCTTGCTCAGATATCCCACCAAATAGGCCTGCTAGCTTCTTCAAATCAGCTAGAAACATGTCTACAGACTTGTCCAGGCGGAGTTGACATTCCACAAACTGCTTGTAAGCTAAGAAACGATCCGGCGCAAAGGTAATCTGCAGGGTTCATTTTATCTGTTCGACATCTGCTTTTTGCTGTAAACTTAACTGCTGATAAATGCTCTGTCCATCAACCTCAAGGGAAGAACATGTTGTTAATTCCACACAGGTCACAAACATATTCTGCCTTCTCAATCCATTCAGTAACTGCTTCTCTGGTCACTGAACCATCAAACACAGGTATCAACTTGATGTCAAATGTCCTGTCTGTCATAGTGCCAAAATAGCTTGTAAGGGTTCTTGGATTGCAAAGGAAATATTTGTCGCAGATTACTTCCACAACGAAGAGATCAAATCGCAAGTTCAAACTCGAATATCAGGGGCAGAAAGAAATGTCGAAATCTTGATTCACAATTGTGAATTGTCACAAATCACAATACACGTAATCAGTCAGAAAAATGTCTCACTCACCAACAAACACAGTTGCCAAATACATGAATTTTGTCTTTTCTCCCTGATTCAAAAACACCAACTGCTTTTATTAACGAAGCATTTTCATTCATTTGCAACTGGGAGAGAACACAACTATTAGCATATCAAAATACTTTTATAGCGATTCCTGCAACTGACTTGTTTCAAATTTGAATATTTTTTCTTCAGCATATCATGCAGAATACATGCTCTTTTTTTCAGCAAGTAACTTTCTTTTTCGACACATTTTCTGTCATAGGATACACACGACACGCTGTCGCTTGGTTTGATGAGGTAATTCGCTGTTTTCTTTGCTATAATTCAAAAGTTGATATGAAATGGTCACCCCTGGATGAGGCAATTTATAGAGATTTTTTTTTTTTTATCTTCAAGGCTGATAATGTATGGAGAATTTTTTTTTAACATATCCACTGTGCCATGTAGGCATTAGTTAGATCCAGGACAGGACCAAAAGAGTGTGAGTTTAATACCTGGTTATGGTGGTGGAAAATTTGGAGAGGGAAATTAACAGGAGATAACTGATAACTAACATCCATTAGATATAGTACATGGAACTAGAACAGTCTACCCCAGCGAGCAAAATAAAGGGTTCAGTTTGACATTCCAACCACCTGAAGAAGGCCAGAGCATACAATGGCCGAAACGTGATAAATATGGCAACAAGGATGAGGATGATAGTCCGAACAATATAAATAGTATGGATAAAAATGTCTACATTATCTCAGGATCAAAAGGTAAAATAAGAATTTCATACGAGATATTACAAATCCTAACATTATCGTTTATAAATACACTGAAGACTACAAGAATAATTAAAAATATATGGAGGTAAAAAGAAAAAGAATGCCCTTATTTACACTATTTACATGCGGACTATTGTCCTAGTCTTTGTTGTTGTTAGCACAGTTTTTCTGTTGACACCACTATTATTTTCAACTACCAAGACTTCCCCTGCATGTTTATCTACAAGATTTGTTGGGATCAAATATGGATCGGAATCCGTGGGAATGATAAGATAAAGAACAAATAGGAAACATTTCTAAATCTAACGTTTCACTTTTATTAAAGCTTCATCAGAGAATGAAGATATGAAGAAAAAGAAAAGAGAATTTCTGGTATTTTTACGTTTGTGTTGTTTGATTTTCATTGGTTAATCATGTTTCATGTGTATTGTTAAACAAATGTTAGACATTCCAAATTTTTAGTCCCCATATCTCATTCTCTGATGAAGCTTTAATAAAAGTGAAACATCTTAGATCGATAAACATTTCCTATTTGTTTTTTATTTCATTATTTACGAGATTATAAAAATATGTGAACCAAGTACAATGCGATATTTATTATTAAATATTCTATAAAGATTTAGCATTTTATAAACTAATAAATTTGAAAAGAAGTCTTTTTATTAAAAAGTTTATAAAAACCTACAAAATTCTCAATGAAGTGTGTTCTTTGTAATAGTTGGCAAACCATTGGTGATTTGCCAATCTATTTGAACTTCATAAAACAGTAAATAATAAAGATTTCATTCTAGTTCTAGTAATTTTTAGAAATTTATAATGGGAAGAATTGTTCTCATATTTATTTCTTTATAAATTGGTAAATTATAAGCATGGTATTTTAGTTGGTTTGCATTTTTAAAATGTAAATATGAAATAATTCTTGTAAGTAAAAAAATTAATATTTGTTATAAATATAAAATTTGATATTTTTGTCATAAATTTCCAAAAAATAAAGAAAATGTATAAATTCACTTTTATATGTTTGTTTTTTATTAAAATTCTAATCATCACTTTTTAAAGCAATAGACATTACTGAAGGAGTGACTGTAGTAAAAAAAATAATAAATGGCAAAACCTCCTTTTATTGAGGTCACAAAGGTTAAACTTTGACAAATATTTATATTGGTTTCTTTTCTTTTTTTATCTTTAGAAAAATATTGGATCAAAGAGATAAGGTTTACCAGGAAATTTCCGATTACTTACAACTAAAATCAGTGATTGAACGATTACAAGTAAGTAACTTTTTGAAATTTGGGACACTTGAACTAGTGAATGGCATGTTTATTTGTTGGTTTTGTAGAATTTATGTAGATCAGGTCTCCAGACTAACATTTTCCACCATCATCCTGGAACTGTCCAAAAATGGAAAGGGTGTGTTTTTTTTTTGTTTTGTTTTGTTTTTTTTTCAGATTTATTATTTATAGTTAGTAGCATAATAAAATGTTAGTTAACATAATAAAAAGCATCACTAAAATATTAGTGGTGTAATAAAAACACCATAAAAATGTTAGTAGCATAATAAAAAATACTAGTAAAATGTTATAATAATAATTATAATAAACTATTAAAATATTTAGGAAATAATTTAAGCTAAAGTGATAAGATTTTAAAACTAATTGAATGGTGAATAATGTGACTAAGACACAAAATATATATTCTGGCTTTAAATAACCTGCAGAAGGTTGATAAACTGTAAAAGACAAATTGATCAATCTTAATGTTTGTGTCAGTAATGGAGAAAGAAATAAACTGAAGGTCCTTCGAAAATGATTGTGGTAATGATGTCTCAACCTTTCTTTTTTTTTTTATCTAGTTTTCCTTTTTCTTGAAAAGCAATCTTTTTGTAAGTATAAAATCAAATCTTTTTTTTTTTTTTTTTTTTTTTTTTTTTTTTTTTTAGGAAAATGAAACAAAAGAGCCATTGAAGACTCGTGTTGATCTTGGATGCAACTTTTATGTTCAGGCCAAAGTGTGAGTTTGAATTATTTTACAGAAATCTGAAATTTTATTTACTAATTTTTTTTTTTTATCCTTCCTTAATAGGTGTGGATCTCTTGTCCCCTGTTTAGAATTGGGTTTTCGGTTCCTTCTAAAGTCTTTTGTTCTCTTTTACCTAGTGACCCCTTGCATCTCAATGGCATTTTTGCCTTGCTTGCAGTGAATTTATTCTTTTTTTTTTTTTTTTTTTTTTATATATTTCAGAAATTTTAGATTGTCTGGTAAGAATGGTTAGTAAATACACAAATTCTCTTATGCTGCTATTAAGCTCTGTGAAAGCATTTTTATGCTTGATATCCCTTATCCAATATACATATATTTGAATTTCGAAAAAAAATACAAAGATATAACCAACAAAATCTTGTCTTCCATACTAAGAAAAGTTGGTTCTTGATAATGACAGTTAAAATTACTTGAACAAAGCCAGATTGTTTTGACAATTTATACACAATTTCAATCTGGATGAACAACAATTTGTTCAAAAATTGGAAAAATACAATAAAAAATTTATCACAATGAAAACAGACATATTAAAAGAAATTTAAGGAAATAAAGAGCAAGGGAAAAGAAAAAATATAATTTCTATAAAGCGGGTAAAATGAAAGAAGAAAAAACATTTAAAAAATGGTAATTGGTTGTTATTCCTCACTTTAGAGAGGCTTTGATTTAAGAATAAAAATGATGTGCACAGCAATTAAAATATACACGTTAAAGTAACACACACGGAGGGGCGGGCACCAAAACATAATATATATTACAGGAAAATAACATTCACACCTAAAAGCCACTCTTCTTACAGGGACAGTTACAAATTTTCAATATATAGAGATATGAATGCCAGGTTCATAAAAAAAAAAAAGGAAAAGGTGAGTTTGCTAACATACCAATACATGAATAGTTGTCAGCAAATAACAAACACAAGATGTATGTTTGTAAACAATTTTATATAACAAAAAACAACAAAATATGGAAAGAGTATTGGATGATGGAAGTAAAATCAATAAAAGACACTTATCTGATATTGGGTGTTACTTTAAGCATTCATGTTTCATGAATTTATAAGTTCAAATGTTCATAATGGCAAATAGTCACTGTAAAATGTCCAAGTAAAAGTAGTTCAGTAGTTCTTCTTTCCACAATATAAGTGGGACCACTCTGAAATAGTGCTTTTATTTTGTTTCCACTCTGATAATCAAATTGCATCCAAGATGAAGTTAGGATGATTTTTTGAGGTATAATATTCCTTTATTCACTACACATCAAGCAGTTGAACAAATCCATGGATCTTAAGGACTAATAATTCCTTATTCTTTACACAAGTAATGGGATAAGTTCATGGGCACATCTTTCATGATCATATGATGAGAGTCAATTTTCTCACAGTCAGAGATTATCAGGCAACTGAAATTACAATACAAAAATTCCACATGGTGATGTATGTCATGTAAGTTTGGGTGACTGACTTTTACTTACTCTGTTAAGAGGTCAATTATGTCTAGTTGTCAAGCAATCCAGATTCCTTCCAACCATTTCTTAGGTGAGACAGAACTGTCAAGACAAGAAATATAAAAAAGAAAGAGAAGAGGAAACACAAACACAGTGTGTCCCATAATAAATTGATCATGCGTCTGATTTAACATTCAACATTGAGGGTCATGTCACAGGAATTAGTATATATTTTTTCCATGCCTTTTAAATGGAATTTTTAATGTTCGTTACTCAGAACAACAAAATTATCTTTGGTAAAAGACTGATTAGATTTAGGATTACTTAATAAGTGTTTATCCAGCTATAGCAAATGCAGATGTACTGAGATTGTTATGTAAACATACAATGTGACCATTGCTCAAGTTTTCCACCAAGCAGTCCTACATTTTGCATTTAGATTCTTGATCTTGTCTGTGTGCACCAAGAGCTGGGAAAGGGCATGCTGCTTGCTCACAAGACAAACTCCCACATCAAGGAATAAGAACGTGAACCCTGTTTCATAGATTTTTTATTCAGGGTGTTCACCTGGGTGGGCAGGTAGGTGATACTTGGGACAACTTTTTTTTATATTGGTCTAACTGCTCAGCTCTTTATCCTACCAACTTCTCTCTCATCTACTCATCCTTAAGTGGTGGATGACATAGGAACCACACAATGGACAAGTCTGCCTTCCACCAGGGATGGTCCAGACCTCACTCTGAACCCAAGCATGACAGTTAATATAGACCAGCACCCGGATATACCCTAATTCCAGTTTTGTTGCCACTTGATCTCCAAAAATCCCATCCATTCCTTGCTGTTCCCCTTCGGTCAAAGTAGATGTCACTCCATAGACCAAACTTCAAAAGCAGCCATTGAAACCAAGGATGTGTGCTGGAGCATTGTCCTGATGAAACAAGACCCTTTTTGTCATTTTTCCTCAGTGTTTGGTTTTGAAAGCCCTTGATAACTACCTCAGCCAGTTAGTATAGTAGTCTCCACTAATGGTGTGGCCCTTTTGAAAGATAGTCAATATACAATTTACACTATTTCTAATTGTTTTAGTCTTTAGAATGTTATAAATATAAAATTATTCTTGTAAATAAACAATCTAATAGTGTTTTGTTTAATATTTTTGTTGTCAATTCTCAAGAACAAGAAATGTATAAATTCATTTTCATCATACGTTTTTTTTCTTCTTTTTTTTTAATTCTAATCATTGCTTTTTCAAACAATAAAAATTTCTGAAGAGTGATGGTAATTAAAAAAGCAATGTCATGGGGTGGGGAACATTCTTTTTGACACTGCATCTTATTGCAGCATATTTATCCATGTTTGCCACAAAAGATTTTGTCACAACTAATTATGTATACATATCAGCTTCTGTCCTTTGACTAATCAGTGGCGATTCTAGCATTAACCCTCTAATTTGTTGCTTAGACCTAAATCAAACACTGTGACCTAATCTTTGCCCTAGTGTCTGTCTTACCCCAAAGTCAATTGCTATACAGCAAATTTGTTATATTTTATGCAGATTTCAACCCAAAAGTTTCACTGTTTTAAAATTTCAGTATTCATAAACTATAAGGTAGCATTAGTTTTAATGACATAGTAAGATCTATAAAAGATATTGTACATATATATTTTCATTTTCTTGTGGGGGTAAGCCTCATTATCAAGTGTGTTAAAATCTACTTCATCTCACAAGCCCCTGTCAGAGTGGGACCAATTGTGTCTTAGTATTAGGGATGAAAAAAAATGTGATTAAGGAAGATAACTCTTATTTGGAAATTATCTCCAATTTTTAATTTCTTTAATTTGCATAATGAATAAAAATTTCTAGTTGCAAAAGATACTCCCCTTTTGCACAAAATGGAAAAGAATAGCAATGATAAATCTTCTCCATCATAATTTTCTGTCGAACTGTGATCCATTTGAGTCAGAGAATTTTTGTTTCTACTGTTGAATTAAATTTTTATTCCCTTTTATTACTACTTTGTAGATAAAGAATTTTCACTATTATTATTTAATTAAATTTTTGGCCACTCGTAAAAAAAATTATTTCGGAAATAATTTCAGTAGATTAACATTTTTAGACTTTCCTTGACTCATCAGAATTGAAAGATATTGATTTTTTTTTTTTTTTTTTTTTTTTTTTAAATCATTTTAGGAGGTGATGTAGGTTCATAATTTTGACACAGTGTCAAATCAACTTCTGATTTTTTACAGAGTTATCTGAGATTAACTGTTCTGCCTACAAAAATAGATTTTTTTTTTTTTAACAAAAATATTTACTTTAAAATAAAGAATAAGTGGACATATACATTTTTAATTAGAGAACAAAATACATACATTGATAAAAGTATATACCTGCTTTTTCTTCATTTAAGATAATTATTATCTCCCAATGTTTGTGTTTGTGTAAAAAAAAAATCAAGATATGTCAATATCAATGACATTTATAAATAACAACTAAGTTCTATAACTCCATAAAAAGTTTGATCAATTTTACCCCTTATGAACAGGATCCCCACCCACTTCTTAAATAGAAAAATCAATATATTTTTTATTTTGACAAATAGGGCTTGAAAAAGATCTAAGGAATACTAAATTTTAATACTAAAATTATACTCCCCGCCTCGCAATTCTCTATTTTTTTTGCAAGCAGACCAGTCTATTTAAGTAGTGCTAGTTATAGACCAGCATATAAAAGATGCATATTTGATGCACTTTATTTCTGGTCGTAATTATTAACATTTAATCTATTTTGTGTTTCAGCCCCGACCCAACATCTATCTTTGTGTATGTCGGATATGGCTTTTATGTACAGTTCACTTTTGAGCAAGCTTTAAAGTTTATTAAACAAAAAACTGACCTTCTCACTGAACGAACAGAAGCGCTCACTAAACAGTCAGCTGTTGTGAAGGCTAATATTAAACTTGTTCTTGAGGTAAGTACAGTGATTTTCAAATTAACTTTTTTCTCACCATCACTTCCTGCCTTGTAGAAAATCTATTCTCTTAATATCCGATATTTATCTCCCCTGCTCATATTATGGGATATCGAGAGATACTTGATAAAATCCAAAGAAGAATCTGCAATGTTATCAATCCTGACCTGGTATCTTTGTTTCATTCACTTTTGCACTGCCATAACATAGTTTCTCTGTGCTTTTTCTATAAATATTTTTATGGTTATTGTTCTAACAGGCTTTCCTCATTAACTCAACTTCAGGAATTTGAAATAGTACTAGATTGGCCGCTAGATCTCATCATTTTACCAATGAATTTGTTAGATGTAACCATAAGTTCCATGCTAACAGTTTCTTCTCTCACACCTCTTGCTTGTGGAACTCTCGTCCAAGTTCTTGCTTTCCTGTCAACTACAATCTTTAAAACTTTAAATGCTATGTCAATCATCATCTTCTATCTCTTTGAAACTTATTCCTTTATTCTCTATATTTATAAAGTTTTTTCTTAGATCCTTTCACTTCCATTAGCCTCCTGTGTTTTAATGGCTTTATTGCATTAATTGGAGGTGAAAGGGTTAAAATGTTTACTACCAGAAGTCACTTACCAAATCTAACTTCAAATGCAAACATTATAATAGCCAACTTGAGCAATAAAAAATTTGATCTTTAGCTTCAACTGAAATCTTAACGTCATTTTCATACTAAAAGTTGTCATCATTGGCTTTATTTCGTATCCAAGAATTATCTTGTGAACATAACAGCCTTGGCATCATTTCAAGATATACATTGTCAAACCCACTCAAGATGCTGGGGTCAATATGAATGAACTACTATCATAGATGACTGAAAAGATAATATCATGAAGTTAAGCAAATCTAATAAAGATTAACATAATGATGATAGCTGGAAAGAAAGTTAAGCTGGGAGAATGATTTTACAAAAGGGGTGGTGAAAAGTTTCGGTTCTGATTAAGTATAACGTGTGAAGTAAAGGAGATTAAGAATTGTAGTTAGAAATGAAAAGAAAAAGTGAATTTATATTGTAACTAGTTTGAAAGACAAAAAAAAAGCAAGGCAAAAACAATAAAAGCAGTCAGTTCAGACTATATGTATTGCACTGCTCAACACCACAAGAGAAAACCTTAAAACTTTTAGTGAGAATTTTTGACTGGAACCATTAGAAATTAGTAAGTCTGTTTCTCTCTCACTTGCTTCCACTCTCTCTCTCCTTCACTGACAAATAGTTGGCAAAATTTATATCATCATCAATCCCTTGACTGCTTTAATTGTTGGGTGGTGGTGGACCTAAGGGCAGAAGAAACAGATAACCTCCTCCAGGATGATCTGTTGGCATTGTCTTTCACGAGTTCCAGTATTGTAATGTTTGTTCACTCTTTGATGCTGTCTGACAAACTTTTGTGCTGCCATCCCCATCTGCATCCTCTTTAAACATTGCCTTCGATGTTCTTGCTGAGGCTGTTATACTGTGTGTCATGGTCAAAGCATGTGATTTTCTGCCACTTAATAGTGGCGAGGAGAGATTCCTTTCAGCCAACAAGACTTTTGACTTTACTCCATTCATGGTCATTGGTTTGGTACTCTTAGTATTTCTATACTATAAATACTGTACTAAAGGCAATAAAAACAGTCAATTTATACTATATGCATGGACTATTCAGCACTACAACAAGCCCCTTTCATTATAAATTTTTGCCTCTTAGTGAACACGTGAACCTGAAACTGCTAGAAATTGGAAATCTCTCCCTCACTGACAAGTAGTTGGTAAAGTTTCTATAATAAGAGCAATAAAAGCAATCAAACTTTTGACCACCACTAACTATAGTAAGTACTATAAAATAAATCTATCTCTTCTCCCCCAACTATAGGTTAAGTGTATCTGGAAAAATAATTGTTATTCTCAAAAAAAATTGTTAATGTAATATTCACTTGCAAAAAAATAAAAATTCTTACAATCCGAAATATACACTATCTACATTATTCGGACTATTGTCCTCATCTTTGTCACCATATTTATTACAATGTTTCGGTTGTTGTACACTCCGGCCTTCTTCAGGTGGTTGGAATGTCGAACTGAACCCTTTATTTCACTCACTGGGTTAGACTGTTCTAGTTCCATGTTCCATGGATGTCAGTTATCAGTTATCTCCTATTAATTTCCCTTTGAAAGTTCTCCACTGCCTTAACCACATATTGAACTCACACTCTTTGGGTCCTGTCACTGGATCTAACTAACGCATTTATCCACTGAAGAAGACCAGAGCGTACAACGGCTGAAACATTGTAATAAATATGACGACAAAGATGAGGACAATAGTCTGAATAATGTAAATAGTGTACATAATACCTCATCTCAGAAATATAGACAGAATCCGAAATATGTTTAGGTTTTAAATAATCCACAATAGGTTGATAAACCATAAAATCAATCTTCTGGTCTTGTTGAAGTGTTTCATCATCATCTATAACTTTCTGGGAAATTCATATCAAATCCCTGATTCAATCCAATCAAAATGTTGTGATCATAACAACCAAGATGAGGATAGCTAGAGCAAATCAGTTTATTTTATTTTCTCAAGGATTCAGAAAAATAATGCTACCACTCTTGATTGGAATTCTCATTTCACTCTAACCTGAAAAAAATTTCTCTCTTTTGTATATTGGCCTATACACTTGGAAAACTCAGTGGATTTAAATAACCTGAGCATCTACTCAAAATACAGATATCCACTAAAAATAACGTTTGAAGTAATAAAATATGTTGGATTAAAACATACACATATATTAAAGACTAGCAGTAGAGTCTGGCGTTGCCCAGGGATGTAACAGTAAGAGATAGATCAAGTATCGACCATCATAAAGACTGAAAAATAAAATTGACAAAGATTATTGTTTAAGGTTGATGGACACGCATGTCTTAATTATTATTTTTTTTTTTTTTTTTTTTTTTTTTTAATTGGTCAAACTCAAACAAAAACATTGTTTTCAATCGTTATGAGTCTACCGATTAAATAGAATTTTATTATAAACAATTGTCTTGTAAATGGAATTTTTAAAGCATTCTGAATGTAAAAATAAAGAAAAAAGTGTGCAAGACAATAAGAAACACTACCTGCCAAAAAAAAAAAAGTGAAGTTTTGTTGAAATCGGTTGAAAAATGTAGGAAATCCGATCCCATATATAAACGAACACACACAAACAACCTGGGTTTTATAATAAGTATAACTCGATATGAGTTGTCCCCCTTTCATTCTCGCGATGCCTCTTAATCGTGTTTTCAAATTGATTTTGTGCAAAAGCAATTGTGTTTTTCCAATTTTTGGCGCTGTCAGAACCATCGCAAGGCAATTTCACGTAGTCCTGTGAAGTTTTGTTGAAATCGGTTGAAAAATATAGGAAATCTGATCCAATATATAAACGTACAGACACACACACACAACCTGGGTTTTATAATAAGTATGATGATTAAAAAAAAAAAAATGAGCATATATTATAAAAGAAAAAGTGCCCCAGACTTAAGAACAAGGTATTTTTGATGATTAAATTATATTTTTTAATCCTTTTTAGAACCTTCAAAATTTTTCTTTTTCTTGTCTTGGTGGGTGACTATAAATTAGTATGGGAAATTTTAGTGTCTTTTTGTGATGAAAAACACAAATGATTTTGAAAGTCCTGCAAAAATCAGATAATTGTCAGCTTTTAATAAAACTTTCAGGAATTATTAAAAAATAAAGGAAATTATTTTTGAAATTTTTTTTTTTTTTTTTTTTTACCTCTTACCACCCACTCTCACCACACAAACACTAAAGTTTGAAAAATTCATTTTTGTAACACTTAATGTTTGTTATATTATTTTAGCACAAGTTTTGGAGAATTTAAATCCTCAATATTTTGTGAAACATGCCCCCCACCCCACTCTCAGTTACAAAAAATCTGTTCTGAATCGTAAAATAAAAAATGTAACAAAATACATTATTTAATTACAAGAGCCTTTAATTGTTTATATCAGTAATATACATATGAACCATATTATCTTTAGAAAAACATTTTTTCCATGACTAAATAATTTTTACAAGAATTGTTTTCATTTTAAAAAAATTTTTAAAAGTTTTAAATCTTTTAAAATTCTGCATTAATTTGTAGTGGTTAGGCAATATTGTTATAAAGTAAAAACCTATATTTACTAATTATAAATGGAAAAGCTTACTACAATTCAGCAACCAAGCCCAGTATTTTAAAAATAATTAAAAAATATTTTTTGTGTGTACCGATTTTTTTGTAGGTAACAATAGTAAATTTTAAAATTATTGGTAATTTCTAACATTTCTTGAATGTGTTTTTTGTATTACATTCTTGAATGTGTCTATAAAGCCAGAGTACCTAAAATTTAATAAAATATTAAATTATTTAAAATATTTTCCTAAATTTTTAAGATTATTAGCTACTTAAAAATTATATAAAAATGGTGCTCACATTATATTCAAGTAATTTTTACAGTAATGTCTCCCCAGGAAAAAATTCCCAAACATAAATCTATTGAGATAGTTGTCAACACTGCAAAAACAGAACACCAACTTTCATGTTATAAAAAGCTTTCTGCAATATTTTAAACTCAAAGTAATATTTAAAACAAATCAGATTAATTAAACTTTAAATTGATTAATCTTCCTCCAAATAAAGTTTCAGAAAAGTATACACTTTTTTTTTTTTTTTTTTTTTTTTTTTTGAAAGATTTTTTAATAATGTGTTGAGAGATTCGCTAATGTAACTGGTTTTTGTAATTTTAAAAAGAAAAATTATTCCAATAAATTTAAATTTGGTTTAAAATACAGCAAAGCATTTTGATGATTAGAAATATTTAGTTTGAAATTAAAAATAAAATAAAAGCTTCAAAAAAGATTTTTCAATTTTAAAAATGCATTTTAAACCTTAAGTATTTCTTTTCTTTTTGTTGTACATATTTATATGCGCACACATACACACTAAGTGTGGGATGAAAGAAAACAAAATTTGCAACAAAAGAAACAAAAAAATGAAAGAAACAAAGAAAAAAGAGGTAACACATAGTTGGCAGCTTTCATTATGACATCTACTACAAATTATCTCATGATTGGCATTTTCTGGTACATTTTCATCTGCAGGCACAAACAACAGATGTCTTCACTATCTGTCTATATTTCTGAGATGAGATATTATGTACATTAGTCTTCACTATCTGTCTATATTTCTGAGATGAGGTCTTGTAATTATTTACATTTTTCAATGTGTCCTCAAGGACACATGGCCTAGTGGATAAAAGTGTTGGTTAAATCCAGTGACTTGGCCCAAGGAGTTCAATACATGTTTACAGTTGAGGTGAACAGAGAAATCTTGGAGAGTTGAGTTAAAAGGGAGATAACTGATACTGAGATATTAGGAAGAGACATGGCACATGGAACTAGAACAATCTACCCTGGTGGACAAAATAAAATAAAGGGTTCAGTTCAAAATTCTAATCACTTGAAGAAGGCTGAAGTGTACAATGTACATTATACAAGTCAAAAAATAATTTAGTATTTTGTTGGGTAACTTTTTGCTTTAATAAGAGCCTTAATTCTTTGTGGCATGCTAGAAACTAAATTCTTTTGTAAGTCAACATTCTTGACCAGATTTTTCCAGCATTCCTTTAATTTGCAAAAAAGCTCATCTGTGTTAACATTCCTGTTACCGACACGCTTGTCCATTATCACCCCGAGGTTTTCAATTGGGTTAAGATCAGGACTCTGACTAGGCCACTGGAAGAGTTGCAATTTATCCTCATTATGCTTCCTCTCTAGATAACTTTTATTCTTTAAGGCAGTATGCTTAGGATCATTATTGTTACTAAATCATTTTTTGACTTGTATAATGTACATATGTACACCTGTATTAATAAACAAATTCTCTTACTCACTTATCTTGGTAAAAATACAAAAATCAACCCTTTTATGGGTGCTTCCATTTTTTTGCCCAGTACTATATATATATATATCTTGCTGTAAAAACATTAAGCTGAATATTATTTGGCATAATTATAAAAAACTGATGGTTATATATATATATATATATATATATATATATATATATATATTAGGCAGCATATATTTTATATTATAAAGAAATAGTCATACATTGAATCATTTAGCAATATTAATGCGATAAAATTGTTGTCAGATGGATCTAGTGTATTTTTTATAAAAGCAGGTACTTTCAAGCACATCATGTCCTCATTGTCAGGCTGTAATTTTTTCCGTTAAAATCAAAACTTGAAGATGAAATAAATGTGTTGTAGACCGAAAGATGTTTTTTTAAGAATGTGTTATTTATTAACAGTTGTATAATATTGGAACATGCAAGTTGCAAAGCTAAATCCATCTGACAACAATTTTATACATAAGGATCGCATCATTCAGTGGATTGTTAGTAGTTTAATGCTTATATTAAGTCTATTAGCGAAGAGATTTCGTCATTAATCGCATTAATATTGCTAATTGATTCAATGTATGATTATTTCTTTATAATATATATGTGTGTGTCTGTGTCTTTTCATATAATTTGAAATATTATAAAACTTTTGTAGAATTTAATGTCTTTTTTTTTTTTTTTTTTTTGTCTCCTGTTTTTGTTCCTTCTTTTAAAACTTTTTTTTTTTTTTTTTTTTTTTTTTTCAGGGTTTGCGAGAAATTCATCTTATAGATGACACACCAGAAAAAAAACAAGTTGATCTCTTCTCTTGAGTTTTCAGTTTGATTGAATTTATTTTTTGATGAGGATAGCTTGGAATTACAAAAGATCATTTGATATCACGTGACTGAGGAAAAAAATCCCAGATATGGATAGAAAAAATAAAATTATTTTTTTTATTTTATGTTTCAATTTTTGTTTTCTTTTTATCTGACATTGCAAGCCTTCATGAATTTTAGGTAAAGCAAAGGAAGTTGTGGAGAGCCATGTTCACTCACTGAAAGGGCATGACATGTAGAAGAGAAGTTTATTTGTTGCTTTCGAACTGTCAAATTAACTAGTTTATCTATCAAAAATCTTTTTTCTTTTATTTTTGTTAAATGCTATATCCTTTCAGGATGTAGGCAGTTATGACTCTCCCCAGCTTCCTTTTATTTATTATCTGAAAAATTGCTGTGTCTTTCTGGTTTCCTTCTCCATGATTCAGAATTGTCTTTCTCCTAGACTGTTTGCCATCAAGAATGGAGAGCCAAGTCTACCCTATTATTTAACCCATTTATTAATGAAAGAGAAGGGATGAATTTATACCATTTCCAAGTGTATTTGTGCAAAAGTGGATGCAACAGACAAGGCTGGAATTTGAACTCTACCCACTGATTCTACTTTCCATGTCAGTAACTACTATGCCATCTGCACGTTCTTTTGCAGATTGCACTTGATATAGACTTTTATATTTATGGAATCATTTTATTATTTACAAAGCTTGGCCTGCTTTTGGCAGAAGGCACTCAGTCAGGATTGAACTCACAACCAGTGTGCAACTATTACCCATTGCCAAGGTGCCTGTTCATGAAATAAGATCTCTATCTACAAAAGGCAGGATGTGTGCGTGTGTGCAACAAATGCATGGCCACAATTTTTGACGGATTTGCACCAAAATTTACATGCACATGCTCCAAGTTAGTGGGAAGGCCAAGACTGACTTTACATTTCCCAACTCCTATGGATAGTGGAAATAATCAATTTTTTTTTCATGCTTCTATGGTAGTTTTCATGTAGTTTGCGGCCATTTTGTACTGGCCAGAGTGAGAGCCAACAGCTGACTGACACAAATGTTAACTAGCATGCTAGCCTGCAAAAAAAAATCGATAGCTACATTCATCACAAGTGAGAAAAAATTTAAATCTGCATGGTACTTTACTCCAATTGGCTCATTAAACACTTAAACTCAATGTTGATTCGATTCCAGAACTGGGTTGGGTGTGAAAAAAGTATTTGTTGTAAACATTCTTTTTCATTCGGTTTTCAGTTATGAGTCCTTTTTAAAGCTGATCGTTTTGTGTTCATTTTGTTTAGTTCTTTTTTAAACAGATTTAATGTTTAGTATAGAGCTTAGAAAAATTTGCAGTGTGAGATAGGCAAGAAGTAAGGCATGTAGCAACATCAGCACAGCAAAGGGCACTCCTTTAAAGGCAAGGAAGGGCAAAAATATTTTAAATCAAGTGATAGCGATTGCTGTATGAGTCGTATGATTTTTGAATCAGGCACGGGCAATGCTTAGCCATGCTGCTAGTAAATGATAAAATTCATTTGAACACATTCAAATTTACAAAAAAAGTACACTTTATAAGTATGTCGGATAAAGTGGAGTGTATTCCTAATAAGCAGGGTATGCATTCTTCAGGACATAGATGATCATGGCTCTCTACATCTTCCTATCCTTTTTAGCACATAGCAATATTTGTCTTTTTATTACCCCTCCTACTCCCTATTCTGCCATCCGTTTACACAAGCTCATTAAGCATGTTACTCAATGTTCCACTCAGCCTCCTGTTGACTTCAGTATGCCTTGTGACTCACAAATTCTCCAAGCCTCTTTACTCATATTTCCCAAAAATTTCAAATGTTTCTTTTGGATCCTAAATATAAGTGTCCTTTCTATTTCCATTTTCTTTAAAACATCCTTGTTGCTCACATATTCTGTTCACGTTATTCTCAACATCCTTCTGTAGAAACACATTTGTATCTTCTTCATCTTTGAGAAAATTGTCCAAAATTCACTGCCATATAGGAGAATTGATATTGCATAGCAGTTCAGCACTCTTTTCTTTGTTTCTAATGGAGTCTTCCTATTTCTTACCCTATAAAAATTATAATACCTTTATTTAATTAAGTTTAATGTATTATTTAATTCAACTTATACCCTTTTTTTAATGAACACTTGAAACTTGTAAGGAGACATTTACCATTGAAAATCCATAACTTCCGATATGTAAAATACAAAAATGTCTGTAATCTCTGCCCACAATAAAATAAAGAGACACTTCCAGACAAAATATAGAGAAAGTTAGGGAAAAATACTAAAGTCAGACAGTATGCATAGCTGTTGATGTGAAAGTCAAATTTTTATAGCAGAGGTACTGATCATTTTGCTTGGAAACCAAAAAGAGTCAAATCAACTATTTTTTTAAAATGTTAAGATTTTCCCATATACGGAAAAAATACTACCTCCTTTCCGCAATAATTGACCAGACTTACACTATTCTAAAACATGGAGTTGGTCATTTGTTGGGTTATTTAAAACTGGCAAAATTTAGACAAAAATCCAGTCTGACCAAGTTTAAACTCCTTACACATTCTGAGTGGCTCCCAACACATTTTTCAAACTTTAAAATTTGCAAACTTTATGTTTATCTTCTGTGAGGATCATGACTCTCTATAACTTTTTGTTGTTGTTGTTAATGCACTTAATTCAATGATGAATATCAATCATATAAATCAAGTAAAAATACAGTGAAAATTTCTGATTAAAGTTCAGGTAATAAGTATATAACAGGCTATAGACTTAATGATCCCACCATGCATGTTAACACTCCCACCATGTACATAGAGTCTGGCACAAGCCCTCAACAAGCAATAGCATTTTATCTGAAGAAAAATATTTAGTTTTTACGTATTTTAGTACATGTTTACATATTAAATATAAAAAAAAGATGTTGGATATTAGAAAAAAAAAATTTTTTTCTAGTTTATAATTAATGGATATAAGTGTTTGTTAAGCAATTAAATTTATCTGATAGTTAAGAGTTCAATCCCTTTGGTCAGTAGTGTAAAGAAAAAAAAAATCATCAGAAATCAAATAATATTTTCTTCTAATCATTTCCCCAGCCAACTTTCATCACTTTTGAACCAGATCCAACAACTCGACTTCTCAGATGTTGCTTAGATATTGTTTAAGATACGCTTACTTCTCTCTGCTTGATTCCAATAAATGCTACCCATCCCCAAGGCATGAATCTGTGTCCTCTGCAGCCAATGTTAACAGGGAAATGTTCAGCCTGCTACCTGGAATTCTCAAATTCAAACTTCACTTTTTTTTTTTTTTTTTCACAATGTTCACTCTGTACAAGGCCCAAGAGCCACTCGAGGTAGATGATTACATTAAGAAGCACAGTTTAAGGGGATATGAAGGGAAGATAACAGTTAACTCTAGACATGAACAGGTTAAGATTATAGTGATCAGGGAAGCATCCTCTTGGGAGTCTGTTCCACAAAGCAGTGGTTCTTGGGAAGAAGCTACTCAAATCGAACTTACATCTCACCCATGGAATGTGGGTGGTTTGCTACAATGTCCATGGCATGACAGAGTCTTAGCCATAAAGATTAGAACAAGTGGAACTAAGGAATGTAGTTTCTCTCTGAACACTTTCCATGGAAATAGCGATAGAGCAGCGAGAGGCTTGTAACATTTTGCCTGTATGGAAAGGGGTTGTAGGGTTGGAAAACAAATTTTGCCTGTGTGGAAAGGGTTTGTAGGGTTGGAAAAAGTAATGGATGCTTATCTAAGTTAGCAACATACAAAAATGGATGTGGCTATAATGATGCTAGCAGCTTGTTTGCTGTTTAGGATTGGGTTTCCAGTTCATTCTAAAGTCTTTTCTTTCACTTCCAGTGGTCCCTTGCATCTTGGTGACATTATCACCTTGTTTGGGGTGGCAGCTCTTACTCTGTAATCCTCTACATAGAGTGGCTCTTGGGCTTTGTCCAGAGTGAACATCACTGTATATAATAAAAAAAGAAAACCACTCAATTAGAAAAGAATGTTCATAAACTTAGAAGGCAAACTTCCCAAAATACCATGCAATGAACAAGATTTTCAACAGGAACACAAGTTTAATAACCATTTATTTCTGAAAGAATGATAGATAGCTGAATACAAGAATAAATATGAATTGTATAAAATAATGAATGGAATAACAGATAAATATGTATTTATTATATTCAGTCTCCCACACGATAATGTTAATTGATTGTAATATTGTTTAGTGGGATGACGTTATTGAAACAACTCTACAGATAAAAATAGTGATCTATATGAATTCAATCAACAATTTTTTTTTTTTTTATTATTATTTTTGATCAGTTACTGTATTTTATGGCATATAAGTTTTCTCTTTAACAATATTCAGAAATGAATTTAGGTAATAAGAGATTTAAATGCCTTTTAATTTTAAAAAAAAGTCGGCCATTTGCTGTAAAATGATGTATAGAATTAATAGATAAATCAAGTCCCAGTTAGAAACTTGGGAGGGAAAAGTATTTTATGAAAAAAAATAACTTTTATGATTTTTTGCTTTGAGCAGCAAGGAAAACTGACTTGGGAGTGAATCAAATCAGTGATTTCTTGAAAAATTACATGTCAGTTCTTCAAATATTTTCATTTGTATTTTATTAAAAGAATGATTTTACTTCTGTAAAATTAAACAAGAACTTCAAGAACTCCATTTTATATCACAACATATTGGGTATAAAAACAAAAATGAACCTTTTTAAAATGTTTTATAACATTTCCAATATGAGTAAAAATTCACAGAATAAAAAAAAAGACCTCAATAGATTACATTTTTTTTTTTCTCAGCACAAACTCATTCTTTGATTTTTCAGAAAAAATAAAACTGGTTATGAATTAATGATTAATGTATTACTTCACTCTATTTTTAAAATGTTTTCAGAAATTTTTACATTCAGCAGATTAAGATTTTAATAAAGACTG